TAGACACCAACCTATAAAAACTTCTTACACGTCATGCAGTTTCATGGCTGATGCCTACAGTGACCCTTTTGTACTAGGACAAGTCTTGATGGCTCTCAGGCAGATTAGGGACACACCAAAGGAACATTTCCCCTTCAGCAGCGTGGGACACCAGCATGGGAGGCACAGTCAGGCAGGGATTCTGCAGAGGTGGTAGGAATCCAACAGGACCAAACACCAGGCTAGAAATAAAGAGAGAAATCCATCAATATTGTGACTTTTGTCTTGGGGGGAAAGATGGGGCCCTGTGTCCTGAACTGCACCTACACTGAACTCAACCTAGGCGTGTGGGCGAGGGTGTTTATCTTGCTAGGTGAAGGAAGCAACATGGCCTCCATTCTCTTATTGCCCCTGAGCCTTCAATTCCCCTGTATGAACTCTCTCGTTGGGACTCTGCATGGCTCACTGTCCTCAGATGCCTGTCACTGCCGGTCCCTGGACAGGGTGGGTGGCTTCCATGGCTCTTCCTCTCCAGTCCCTGGCTCTTGACTTTCTTTTCAATAAAGCCCTGACTTCACTTCTAAATGCAGTTGATGGTGTCACAATTCATTACAAGTGGGCTCCATGAGGACAGGAGCTGGTCTACTCTTCTTGGAAGACACAGTGCCTGGAAAAGGCTCAGGCACCCATGAAACAATCGATCCACGAGTGTCCCAGGGCCCAGGATGGCCTTGGTGCAGCCACAAATCCTCGGGTTTTAACCTAATGACAATTTGATATCACAGTTTGGTTTAACTTTGTGTGTGTGTGTGTGTGTGTGTGTGTGTGTGTGTGTGTGTGTGTGCTATAACACATATATGAAGGCAGAGGCCAAAGTGAATCACTCAGTTCTCTCCTTAATGTTGGATCAGAAGATTAAAGTCAGGTTGTTGTCAGTCTTTGAAACAATTCCTCTAACGTTGAAGGTATCTGAGGGGCCCACCTGTCTGATGTCTTGTTTTGGAAAGTCTCCCTGTCACAGTTGGGAACATCAGTCTTCAGAATAAAGTGGCCAAAGTGATTAGCTTCAAGTAGGGGACAGTCCGGCTTTTCCTCCCCTTACCATTCCATGCTCACTGGGAGCTGCCTGCTGCTGAGCCTCTGTCCCCTAAGCCTCTTCTCCTCCCAGGCTGCAGACAGAAAGCCTGAGTCTCCTCTCAGCCCTTGTTCTCCTGGGGAGACCCTTGACTGTCTCTGGGCTCCTCTTCTCACTGTCACAGGAAGGACTCATCACCTGTGTGTCAGGACACTCTCCTGCACCTGTAGACCAGATCCTGGACCTGGGAATGCTCCCTCAACTGCTAGGGAAGAGGCAAACTGAGGCCCGGCCTGACAGCTCTGCCTGTGGCTCCTCATTCTCAGTGCTCCTGGTGACTTACGCTGAGCTGAGTGATGAGATGTGACACTTCCCAGCGGTGCTGGCAGGACAGAAGCAACCGGACTTTCCCTTTGTTCTGGGAGTTGGTCCAGGACTCTCAGGGAGAGTGTCAGGGATTTGATCCTGAGAAGAAGGATGCTATCTGAAGAGGTTTTGTGCCCCCCTCCCTGTTTCCATCCCTGTCATGGATGGCAGTGCGTCCCCTCCCTCCTTCTCTCTTTCCTTCCCCCCTCAGTTTCATCATAATGAAACTCTTCTCCAGGCTTTGAAGGAAAGTTTCTCCTTCCTTTAAGTCCCTGGCATGTCTAGATTCTCCCACATCCTATTGTTTCTGTGTATCCTTTCCTCCAACCTCCAGGCTCCTCATTATGGCCTTGAAACTCTTTTAGTAGGTATTCTGTCCCACAGCAATAGGTTTTTCCTCCATCAATGCTGTAAGTCAGACCAAGCCAAATTGAAATATATATATATCAACAGATTTTTGAACCAAGCAACCCCCAAATGGGTTCTCCAGGCCCAGAGACTGAGGCTGCACACCTGAGCTAAAGCAGGGAGATTGTATAGCTTGTAGGCTACAGGTGATGACATGTCTGCCATGAGCTGGGTTTGTGCCCAAGTTTGGTCAAAAGCTGACCACTCTAGATGGGGACTTCCACTGCTGGCAACTTCAGGGGAGGAGCTGCCAGAGCCACCAAGAGTGTGGAACAAAGATTCTCTAAAAGGGCAGGGTTTAGGGAGACAGAAATGGGGCTTTCCAAATCATGCCTGGGTGTGGAGGCTCCAACTGAACACCTTTGTCAGAACAAGCCATGCTGAAGGGAATTGGTTCAGCCTCCTGTGGGATCGCCCACCCCTGATGCTTCTCTTACAACACTGAACAGAAGCCCCGGCCGTCAGGGCTGCCATTGGCTGGGAGGCGGGAGGGTCTTCACGGTCTCTGCTGCCTCCTCAGTCCTCCCTCTGTGGAGGGGAGCTTCAGCCCTGCTTCTCTGCTCCAAGCTCTGCTGTCACCTCTGCTGTCTTCCTGCCTCTGAGCTCAGCCTCCTCCCAGGCAGGAGCACCTTCCAGAATCACACGGACGGTTAGTGTGTCTGTGTCCAAGGCCCTGATCTGCCCCCAACTCTCTCAATGCTGCCCCCTCTTCCTCTCCCCTTCTCCCTGTTGGAGTTTCAGTCTTCACACCACACAGGAGCAGCAAGGCTGAGAAACGTCTGTGCCCTGAGAGAGAGGCAGCTCAGCCCAGGGGTGGCCTCTGCCGAGTCCTGACCTAGGTCTGTCAGAACCAGAGAGGAACCACTGTCCTCCAAGGACCTTTGTGACGAAGAAACCCGGCTGATCATCCAGACTTCCCTGAAGGTAGAATTTACATCCAGTGTGTAGGTGACAAATGTCTCCCAGGGCTAGGAAGGAACGAAGTGGATGATGTCTGTGTGAGGGAACTTATCCATGATATCAGAGTTCAGTTCCAGGACAGGTGTCCAGGAGCAGGTGTGTCAGGAGTGGAACATTCTGTGGGGGGGGGGGAGGAAGTGACCTGTGACCTGGAAGGAGATTATGGGTCCATCTTCCTGTGGAAGGATCCAGAGAGACCTTGAGTTCCCTGTGTGGCTGGGCTGTGCCTGGGTCTTTAATACTACATTAGACTAACTGCTCGGTAGGCAGAGTGCTTGCCTAGCATGTTCTGGGTGAGACAGCAACACCACATAATCCAAGAGTGCTGGCACCTCCCTGTCATCCTGGGGAGCTGGAGGCAGGAGGGCCACAGGTTCAAGGTCATCCTCATCCCCATGTGATGCCAGGCCAGAATGGGCAACACGAGAGTGTGTCTCAGACAAACAAAAAACAAAGGACAAATGTCATAGTTCAAAGCATTCTAAAGCATGTAAGAAGTTATTCATTCATTCATTTGCTTGTTTACTTATTGGTTTTTGGAGACAGGGTTCCCTGAGTAGCCCTGGCCATCCTTGACCTCACTATATACAACAGGCTGGTCTCCAACTTACAGACTTGGCTGTCTCTGCCTTCAAAGTGCTGGAATTAAAGGTGTGTGCCACCGCTGCCACCACCATCACTGGCTTCTTTTATTTTGCTTTTTAAGGCAGATAAGACAGACTTAGCTGAATAGTCCTAACAGCGACCTTAGAGGTTTTAAAAGTCAAGGCTACACAACTAGGAAATGCCATTTTAATTTTACTTGTGGAATTTTAGCACCTACGGGGCTCTGAGGCAGGAGGATTCTTTTGTTGGGAATATACAATGAGTTTCCAGGCTAACTAGGCTCAACCAAAAGTAGAAATAAATTAATAAATGTGAATAAACTAATTCAGTGGTAAGTCAAAGGCCTATTTGGGAGTCAATGTCATGGTAGTCAAAAGACAAAGCTCTCGTCCACACACTGACTGCCGTCCTTTCCGATTCTACCTGCAGATGTCCATCAGCTGAGTCACATGTCTCCTCTAGGCTCCCACAGACCCCTGGCTACGCTGACCATTTTCTGTCTCTTAGTGAGGTTTTCTCGCTTATGGTGGAAGGGCAGAGCCAGGACTCACAGCCACCGCCAATGTGTCTAACCTAGAGCAGGGTACAAGGCAGGGGCTCAGGAACTGGGGTTCCTTTGTGGGTGAAGGGAACTGGGCGGGGCCTACCCTGCCTGTAGCTCTCTCCAGTACTTAAGAAGGGGAATGGTAGCTGCGAAAGCAGGCTTCTTTGGGGGAGCCATCTCCCCATCCCCACCCCACCCTCACACCTGGCCATCATCTGCTCCAGGACAAATGGATGTGAGCCGATCAATTATCACGTAGCAAGCTTTGAGGGACCAGCTTGGACCTCCACCAAGATTTCCCAGTGTGACCCTGGAGGGCCACACAGCCCGAAGTCACATCACCTAGGGCCATAGGTACCAGGTGGGGTTTGAGGTCTGGATGTCAGTCAGGCAGATGGACAGGAAGTAAATTAATGATAAATAAACAAACAATCATTAATTTTGCAGAGAGGGTTGGGGCACTGGGTCATGTTCCCTCTCCTGTGTCACAGGCGGTGAGAGCGGTGGGATTTGGAGTAGGAGAGCTGCTCTACGGGCCCCGTTGGCCAGGGCTCACTGGTGATCCTGTCCTTGTGCCAAAGCTGCAGAGAAAGGCAGGCACTCCAGGACATCAGAATGCGGGCAACCGGCTGAAGGTCAGGGCTAGAGACCCTGTGCAGTCAGAACGTGGGTTTGGCCCAGTGGCGGTTTCACACGCCTTTAATCCCAGCATCCTGCGGGCAGAGGCAGGCATTTCTCTGTGAATTCGAGGTCAACCTGGTCTACATCGTGAGTTCCAGGACAGTCAAGATTACATAATGAGACCCCATCTCAAAAAACAAAAAACAAAAAAACCCACCAAACAAATAAATCTTAAAGAATGGATCGTTGAGACAGGTGGGGGGGAGGGCAGGAAAGCCCAGGCCACAGCAGGAACAGGGGTTGACAGGGAGCATGGCCTTGGGCAGAGACCCTGTCACAGCCCATGTGACTCTGGGAGATGCTCCTGGGGCTAAGGACAGGAGACATAAAGGAGGGAAGGACAGCAGCAGGACTGACACCGCGATTGCACGTCGGGGAGCAGAGACCATGGAGTCCCCCTCTCTGCTTCTCTGCCAAGGGCTGCTGCTCACAGGTGAGACCAGACCCGAGGGGAGTGGGGGGCGCTCTGACAGGAAGGCATCCTGGGAGGAGGCTCTCTGCTTCAGCCTGAGGGGAGAGGGCACAAGGAGGGACAGAGGCTGCTCTGCTGGCAGCTCTCAGGGAACAGGGAGTGTTAGGAGGGAGGAGGAGCCAGATCCTTGTTTACTCAGAGTTAGTCCGGGGGTCCTGAAGGGGTGCCCATGGTAATGGGGTGTGCTTCCCACCAGAGATTTCAGCAAGGGGGTACACAAGAGGGCTGCAAATGTCCCGGGTCAGGTCCAGGTTCTAGATTTGTGACCCATCAGGGGGTCTGGGAAGCAGAGAGGGGTTCGTCACTACAGGGACAGGGACCTGAGGAGTAGGGTGGAGTCAAGGAGGGTCCTTAGGTGTCTTCAGTGGGTGAGCAGGGGACGTGCCCTGATCCAGTGAAGTCTGACGTCACATGTTCCCAGGTGCCTGTCTCTCAGGAATCAGGACACCTAGGAAGCACATGGTCTTACACACAGAGACAGGCTGTTTCCCTCTCCATACAGCTTCATGGAGGCAGAATCTCCTGGAAGGGCGGCTGTGGGAGACAGGGAGGAAGGTACTCCTTGGGAATGAAAATTCTCCAGAAATCCAGAAGGTCAAGGTCATGTGACAGACTCAATCCCAGGTCCATGCCAGATAGCATTCATAACACACCCGGGAAATACGTTCTGTTTGACCACTACCTCAAAACTAACATTCCAGCCTCCTTGCTCACACACACACCTACGGATAAGGGGAGGGGATAAAGCTACACATTATGGGAAAGATTGTTCGTGGACACCAACTCATCCGGCTTCTACAAGCTGGACAGGGAAGAAAGAAGGTAGTCCTCTTGCCCCTTCGTTCATTACTCCTCCGTGGATTGTAAGCAGTAACTCATGGGCTCTTATAGGCACTTTCCAATCAGGAGGGTACTGTCCATTGTCTGAGCAGCCAGTTGGGCTGTGTTATAGATGAACACGTTCAGGTCCGCATTGAGGTGGGACCCAGGATACGAGCATTGGGGTAGTTATTAGAGGCATCATGTCTGGTGTCTAGGTACTGCACTGAGTTTTGATGCTGTCAGAGCCACTGCTCAGTGACTCTTGCCTGGGTTTGGTAGCAGGATCCGCTGGCCTCTTTGCGGAGGACCCAGCAACTTCAGAGACCTGGGGGACGTAGGGGATGAAGGCTTCCTGCGCCAAGTAGGGGAGGCACACCCTCACCACACACAGGCTGAGAGACGAGCACTTCTGCTCTGGAACTGGGGTTCATCTCTCCGCCAAACACTAGGTCCCCGTTTTCATGGATCTTCCTCTCTTCTCAGCCTTGCTCTTAGCATGCTGGAACACACCCACCACTGCCCAGCTCACTATTGAACTAGTGCCCCCCATGGTGGCTGAAGGTGGAAACTCCGTTCTATTCGTGCATAAAATGCCATTGAACGTGCAGGCATTTTACTGGTACAAACAGAAAGATCCCACCAGGAGCTATGAAGTTGCGCGGTACTTAACACCCGATAACACAACGTCGAAGATGCCTCAACACATTGGCAGGAGGACGGTATTCTACAGTGGATCCCTGCTGATCAGAAACGTCACCCAGGCTGACAGTGGACTCTACACCTTGCTAACATTTAACACAGAAATGGAAAGTGAGCTAACACACGTGCATCTGGAAGTACACAGTAAGTGATCCTGGGACCTCTGGGTGCTGTGGTGGGGTCCATTTTACACATACAGGACCACCAGGCACAGCCGATACCCAGCTCCTTTTTCTGCATGTGTGTCTCCTTGCTGGAGACTGAGCACTTAGTGCAAGACACCCTGGGGAGGAAAACACGACACTAGGTCAGAGTCCTCTACCTGACTCTGCGTCCAGAGGGGAGGGCGTGCACTTATGTAACTCGGTCTGAGGATGTCATCCTCAGAACACGCTCTCGGGGCTTCACCACGAACATGGCGCTGAGAAAGACGGTTGGGATTCAGGCAGGGCCTGACTGAGGAAACCGTGGGGCCCTCACAATGAAGTGACCACGAGAAAGTCCTGACTCCACATCTCTGTCCCAGACTTGACTCCAGGGAAGCCCGAGACTTTTCCTCCAGTGCTGGACTTTGACCTCCTGGTAGAGATGACAGGGGACAAGGCTTTATTGGCTGCCTGTCTCATATCAGGTGGAACCAGCCCCGGCACTGAATGGAGGGCCACAGTTAGGCTAGGTCACCTGGACATCTCCTTCTGGATCTCAGTATGGAGACCCCAGTTGTTCTGAGGGGCTCATGGGGGTCCTTCTGGCAGCTGCTTGCCCTCAGGGGTCCAGCCCAGTCAACTCTCTCCTGTAGGCAGAGGAACAGACTAGGACGTTTTGGGAAGCTCCCACCTTTGAAGATCAGGTCCTAGTTCATATTTAAGTCACCTTAAGTATGTCACTAATGGACATGGCAGTGATCATTTGTCATGTGCCTTATCATCATCATCATTATTATTATTATTATTATTTTGGTTTTTCGAGACAGGGCTTCTCTGTGTAACTCTGACTATCCTGGAACTCACCAGGCTGGTCTCGAACTCACAGAGCTCCACCTGCCGCTGCCTCCCTAGTGCTGGGATTAGAGGTGTGCGCCACTGCCACCCAGCCACGCCCAACTCCTCCACCCCGGAGGCCCTACCAGGTCTCCGTGGACCAGAGAGGGCTGGCTGGGATCTGACGGTGAGCCGCCATCATTTAGTCCCCCCTCTGTTCTTTCACAGAGCCTGTGGCACAGCCCACCCTCCAAGCAGACAAGACCGCAGTAACAGAAGATGGCTCTGTGACCCTCACTTGCCTCACGGAAGACCCTGGATTCTCCATCCGCTGGCTCTTCAATCACCAGAGCCTGTATCTCAACGGCAGGATGACACTGTTCCAGAAAAACAGCGGACTCAGCATAGATCCCATCAGGAGGGGGGACGCTGGGGAGTATCAGTGTGAGGTCTCCAATGGATACAGTTCTAAGATGAGTCCCCCAATCCAAATATCTGTGACCAGTGAGTGACCTCTCCTCTCTCTGGGCACCACAGCTGAGGGATTTCTTTGTCAATGATATGGAAAATGGAGAAACGTTCGGGGGGCGGGAGGGAGGACTATCAGTGAAGATACCAAGGCAGCCAGCGTGGAGACACAGACCAGCGGGTTAAACACGAGTCAGGAGGAATGGGAATTTTTAACAGCCAAGGCTAAAAAGAAAGACATAGTCTCAAAAAAAAATCAATATTGTAAGCAAAACTGCAAAGGGATTAATTAAGGCTTAGGTTCTGAGTCTAGTATGGCCCATGGAGAACTGATTTCAGAAACCCCCAACTTCTGGATGTTCTGAACCCCCTGTTAAAAAGCAGTACCGTGTTCCCAGAGAAGCAAGCATATCCTCCCACAGGCTGGAATCACTTTGATGCCTAACACCAGTGCTACCTGCACACGAGTCACCCACGAGGACAGGAGAGGGACTGCCCATGCTTCTGGACATGGCTTCTTTCTGAACACTTTCGGTTCACAGTTTATTCCATCCACAGATGCAAAAACCCGTGGCATAAAGGCCCCTTGGACTGTTTCTATCCCGAGATTGGCATGTGCAGTGTGACCTCAAACACGATTTTTCTTTTTCTGTTAGCAATATTTAGGTGAGTGCTAAGTATGTGTGTGTGTACACATGTGTGTACATGTGTATATATATTTCAGCAGTTTCCCATTTTAACCCTTTGAAGTGCACAGTTCATTGGCATAAGGCATCTTTGTATTGTGGTGTAAACACCACCACTGTCCGTTTCCAAACCATTTCTAAGCATAAACCATTTCCGGCAGCCCCTGACGACGGTCATTCTACTCTGTCTTTGTGTATGTGACATCTGTCCTATTTTTTGTTAGCATCATACAAAGTGTGACTCTGTTCTCTCAAGCCATTCGGTTGGTGGCATCCTGCTGGCTGGATAACTATTAAAGGACATCCCTGGTACAGCTGAGGCCTCTTTTGTTGGTTATTTTACGTGCTCGTCTACTGTGGGTTACCAGATAACAGTTTGTCTATTTGACTTTCATCCTTAAATCCATTTGCAACTCCTGTGACTCCTATGGAGTCGGTATAACACCCAAGAACCTTGGGATTAATTAGTTTTGCTAAGAGCAGGAGAGCCAAAGACGACTGAAGGCCAGGGGGAGGGGCGTGGTGAGTTGAACCAATGCAAGGGTCCTGTATCAGTTGGGTGGGGGCTTGAGCAAAGCTGTGCTGTCCACGGTACTCTGCGGTGTCAGCTCAGGACAGTGAGTGGCGATTGATTCCTGCATCCCTTCTGTTGCGTGAGACATAGGGAGGGGGGGATGAGCACCTATTACTCTGCCATGTGAGACCCGAGCAGTAATTCACCGTCCCTGCTGATGAGGACGTTCCTATGTGACAGTTGGGAGCAAGTCTTATCTCCCCATGCTTCCTTACCCCACAACGAGGCTAGCATGCATTTACTCCTGTAGGGACTCTATGTCCCATCCAAGGGAAAAGGGCACTTACTGTTGAGCCTGGGGACATCCTGCAATGTGAGCGTATTAATCACGTTTATTAAGTATGTGCACTGTTACGTCAGCACGTTCTATCCAAGCTCTCATTCTCCGTATCCAGTTTCTCTCAGTACATTAGGCAAAGCCCAAAGGAAAACTAGGGCTGGAGAGATGGCTCAGAGGTTAAGAGCACTGATTGTTCTTCCAGAGGTCCTGAGTTCAATTCCCAGCAGCTGCATGGTGGCTCACAACCACCTGTAATGAGATCTGGCGCCCTCTGCTGGCCTGCAGGCATACGTGCAGGCAAAGACTGTATACATAAAAAATAAATCAATCTACAAAGCCACAGAGAAACACTGTCTCGAAAAACCAAAATAAATAAATAAATCTAAAAAACAACAACAAAGGATAGTCTACCAACAATATATCCTTTAGGTCGCCAGGTACTGTCTGGTTCCTTGCAGAGTTAATCTTATGGGATCCACAGATGATCCACCTGGGAAAACTCAAGACACATGTCTGTCTGCGCAAGAAAGTTCCCAGGTTACACTATACATTTGTCTGCTTGGAGAGTTAGCAGGAAGGCTCTTTTAGCTGTTAAATAATCAACACTGGAATGAACTCAGCTTACTTGGGAAGCAGAGTGCAGACTGGTGTTTTGTTTGTTTGTTTGTTGTTGGTTGGTTGAGTTTTTTTTGTGTGTGTGTGTTTGTTTTTTGTTTTGGAGACAGGGTTTCTCTGTGTAGCCCTGGCCATCCTGAAACTCACTCTGTAGACCAGGCTGGTCTCGAACTCACAGAGATCCACCTGCTGCTGCCTCCTGAGTGCTGGGATTAAAGGCGTGCACCACCAACATCCGGCATACACATGGGTCCAAGTCATACAGTTGTGGCCAAGAATAGAGTCTGCACTGTGCTGGGTGGTGGTGGTGCATACCTTTAATCGCAGCACTTGGGAGGCAGAAGCAGGTGGATCTCCGTGAGTTCGAAGTCAGCCTGGTCTACACGAGTTCCAGGACAGCCTCCAAAACAATACAGAGAAACCCCGTCTCGGAAAAAAACACCAAACAAACAAAAAAAAAAGCGACACATCTGTAATGTTTGCTCTTTTCTTACTGGACAAAGAGTTGCTTTTTAGGTTACCAGTCGAGCCTTTTCCCAAAAGATAATTGCGGAAAAAACATGGCACTTGGCCAAGGAAATACCTGCTGGAGTGTGAAGTCAGTATATTCTACTGTAACTCTGTAAACATCCTCTTCATTTTGAGGGACATCTGGAGAGTGCATTGTCCTGCCCTGACGTCAGTCCAGAAAATCTCCTTCAATTTCCCATTTTCGTATTACTTCCTACCCAGCTAGCTTCTTTTTTTAATATTCATTTATTTGTTTATTTATTATTTATACAGTGTTCTGTCTGCATGTATCCTTGCAGGCCAGAAGAGGGCATCAGATCCCATTACAGATGGTTATGAACCACCATATAGTTGCTGGGAATTTTTATTGCTTTTTGAGGTGGGGTTTCTCTGTGTAGCCTGAGTGTCCTGGAACTCTCTGTAGTCCAGGCTGGCCTCAAACTCACAGAGATCTGCCTGCTTCTGCCTCCTGAGTGCTGGGATTAAAGGCGTACGCCACCAACGCCCGGCTCGGAACCTATGTCTTTGTACATTCTAGGCCACCAAGCCCAGCACTGTACCCACAGACTCCTCCTTCTGATTTTTGCTTTTGTTTGTCCAGTGCTGGCTAGGAATTTATACTCTAGGCAAGGGCCCTCCTTTTAGTTTGTTTCTTCATTTCCTTATTTGAGACGAGATCTCACTATCTAACCGTGTCTAGCCTGGAACTTGCTATGTAGACCAAGCTGACCTTGAATTCAAGGGATCCACCTGTCCCTGCCTCCTGAATGCTGGCATTAAATGCATGAACCACCATGCTCAGCTTACTTCTTTTTAAATCACATGTGTCCATGTGTGTCCATGTGATAGCACATGCACGTGAGTGCAAATACTCCCAAAGGCTGAGTCATTTCTGCCAGCCATTTCTTTTTTTTTTTTTTTTTTTTTTTTTTTTTTTTTGGTTTTTACGAGACAGGGTTTCTCCGTATTGTTTTGGAGGCTATCGGTCCAGCCCAGCCTCGAACTCACAGAGATCCGCCTGCCTCTGCCTCCCGAGTGCTGGGATTAAAGGCATGCGCCACCACCGCCCAGCCTTCTGCCAGCCATTTCTAAAGCCTTTCTTTTTGGTTTCTTGATCTGAGGTCCTCATGTAGCTCAAACTTCATAAGTAGCCAAGGATGATTTGAACTCCTGATGCCCTTGTCTTCACCTCCCAAATGCAAGAATCATAAGCACTCACTATCATGCTTTTCCTGTGGCGGGATGTGTTATTTATATACATGCACACCCACACGCAAAATTTTAAACCAGGGCTTTCATTGAATGCCTGTAACCCTGGTATTTGGGTGACTGAAGTAAGAGGATTATTACAAGTTAGAGGCCAGCATGTTCTACATAGTGAGTATCAACATGGAGAGATCACGTGCCAAAAAGAAACACACACACACACACACTAAATAAATAAATAAATACTGTGATTTTAAAAAACAAAATTTAAGTCTAGGTTCTGCAGATGAGAGAAAACATTCAGTGTTTGTCTTTCTGGGTCTGGCTTTTTTTCCCTCCTGGTATAATGATTTCCAGGTGTATTCATTTCCCGGCAAATATCAGAGTTTCATTTTAACTCAGGACCATATAGCACTCCAATATCTGTATATACCACATTTTCTCATCATTCATCCACTGAGGGACATCAGGCTTGTTCCAGTTTCTAGGTAGTGGGAATAATGCAGCCATAAACACAGACGCGAAAGTGAAGCAGAATAAGACAGCAAAGACCAGTTACTAGATACTGATTTTGAAAGACCCTGCAGTCTTTCTCCCAGGACCCTCTCCCAAATACCACCACGGAGCCAAAGTTCGTTACAAAACGCAAGAGGATTTTTATTAAGCCGGTGCACCAGGGTTCAGCAGCCTTGGGAAGGAGTGAACCCCGAGCAGAAATGACAGCAAGTTTTTAAAGCCTAAAACTGCTTTAAATGGGGTGGTCTGGGTACAAGAGGAGTTTGGAAGTTGGTGCCAGACCTTCATGAATCACGTATGCTTGTGGCTGGCTGGCTGACTGGCTCGTTATCTGTCTCAGGCAACGTCTGTGCCCTGACTGAACTTTGTGACCGACCTGGAACCTTGAGGTCTGAGGAATGTTCCCAAGTCCTTGAGGACTGAGGTCTAGGAAATATTTTCAAGTCCTTGAGGACCACCAGAAGAAGATGTTTAAGTGTAGCTGCTCACGTCCAAGGACAGGACATCTTAGCAATTTTCCAACTATTGAGGGGCTAAGTGTTGGGGCTCTTCAATTTATTTATTGATTTACTTAGAGTCCTGCTTGTACCGTCTATTTTCCAAGCATGACTTCACTTGCTACCTGGGACAGAATGACCTGGAGAAACGGCTGAAGCC